TTGACATCAGCTGGAGGCCATCCTTGTTCAGGAATCCCAAAGATTAGAGAAAACAGATTCCAGATCAGGGATCAGTGAACTCTTGGCATCAAGGGCTACCCCTGGGGGCAAACCAGCTCTGATGGAGCCCAGGGCATGTTAGGGAGAAGGCTGAAAAGGAGGGAAAGAGAAAAGAAAAAACGAGAGGGGCGCAGGGAGAGAGAGGAGGAGTAAGATGAACGTTTACGGTGGGATGGAAATAGAACACCAGTAAATACCATCTGTTGAGGGCTTCCTATATGAAGACTTTTCTGTCCATTTTCTGATTTAATCCTTACAACAACCCTATGACATGGACCTGATACTCCTCCCTATTTTACAAATAAGGAAGCTAGGGTGTAGAAAGATTAGGACACTGGCCTAAAGGACCCACACACCATCTGAGTCAGAATTTAAGTCCTAGCCTTACAACTTTAGAACTCTTAACTACATGGTATCCAGTGGAAAAACCACAAGTACTAAAGCAAAGAGTGGTGTTAAAAATGCACAAATACAGGGGCGCCTGGGTGGCTCAGTGGGTTAAAGCCTCTGCCTTCTGCTCAGGTCATGATCCCAGAGTCCTGGGATCGAGCCCTGCATCAGGCTCTCTGCTCACTAGGGAGCCTGCTTCCCTTCCTCTCTCTGCCTGCCTACCTGTGATCTCTGTCTGTCAAATAAATAAATAAAATCTTTAAAAAAAATGCACAAATATAAAAAAAATACACAAGTATCAATGGACATCATCAAGAAGGTGAAAGGACACCCCCAGGAGGGAGAAAATACTTACAAATCATAATAGTATAGCAAGGGACCCAGAACATATAAAGAGCTCTTACAATTCAATAATAGAAGATAAATAACCCAACTCAAGAATGGGCAAAAGCTTTGAGTAGACCATTTTTCCAAAAATATACAAATTGCCTACAAGTGCAAGAAACGATGCTTGACAATCCTAGTCATTAGGGAGTGCCAGTCAAATTATAAGACTACGTTCCATTAACTAGGGAGTTATAAGAAAAAAGGTAGATAAAAACCAGTATTAGTGAGAAAGTGGGGAAATCAGAACCCTTGTACAGTGCAGAAAATAGGTAGTTCCTCAAAAGGTTAAACATAGGGATGCAACAATGCCGATCTAAAATACATATCCAAGGGCTGTCTGGGTGGCTCAGTCCTTTAAGCTTAAGCATCTGCCTTCTACCCAAGTCATGATCTCAAGGTCCTGGGATCCAGGACTGCATAGGGTCCCTGCACAGAGGCGAGTCTGCTTCTCCTTCTCCCTCTGCCCCTCCCCCCACACACCTGCACACCTGCACTCACTCTCTCAAATAAAACTTAAAAAAAAAAAGAATAAAATAAATACATATCAAAGAAGACTGAAAACACATGCCCACACAAAATCTTTTTTATAAACTTTCATGGCAACATTATACCTAATGGCCTCAGAATGGAAATATACTAAATGTCTATCAGCTGATGAATGGATAAACAAAATGTGGTCCATCTATATACAGTTGACACTTGAGCAATGAGGAAGTTGGGGCATCGACCTCCACATAGTCGAAAATCCATGTATAACTTCTGACTCCTGGAAAATTTAGCTACTAATAACCTACCACTGACCTTAACATTAACAGTCAATTAGCACATATTTTGTATATTACATGTATTAAAGTAAGCTAGAGAAAAGAAAATGCTATTAAGAAAATCATAGGAGGCTGGGACACTGGGTGGCTCAGTTGGTTGAACCGCTGCCTTCAGCTCAGGTCATGATCCCAGCATCCTGGGATCGAGTCCCACATCGGGCTCCTTGCTCAGCAGGAGCCTGCTTCTCCATCTGCCTCTGCCTGCCACTCTGTCTGCCTGTGCTCACTCTGACAAATAAATAAATAAAATATTAAAAAAAAAAAAAGAAAAGAAAATCATAGGAGGGCCCCTGGGTGGCTCAGTGGGTTAAAGCCTTGGGGCTCTCTGCTCAGCGGGGAGCCTGCTTCCTCCTCTCTCTCTGCCTGCCTCTCTGCCTACTTGAGATCTCTGTCAAATAAATTAAATCTTTTTTTAAAAAAAGAAAATCATAGGAGAAAATACATTTACAGTGATGTACTGTATTAATTGAAAAAATTTGCATACAGGTGGATCCACACGGTTGAAACCCATGTTGTTCAAGGATCAACTGTAATTCAGTATTATCTGGCAATAAAAAGGAATGAAGTATTGATATGTACTATAACATAGAGGAAACTTGGGGTGATTAACACACCACATGAATATACTGTAAATCACTGAACTGTACACTTTAAAAAGCGGAACCTTAAGGTATGTTAATTGTATCTCAATAAAGCGGTTATTAAAAAAATACGCAGGGACACCTAGATGGCTCAGTGGATTAAGGGTCGGCCTTTGGCTCAGGTCATGATCCCAGGGTCCCCCTCTCTCTCTGCCTGCCTCTCTGCCTACTTGTGATCTCTCTGTGTCAAATAAATAAAATTTTTTTTTAAAGATTTTATTTATTTATTTGACAGACAGAGATCACAAGCAGGCAGAGAAGCAGGCAGAGAGATAGGAGGAAGCAGACTCTCTGCTGAGCAGAGAGCCCGATGCGGGGCTCAATCCCAGGACCCTGGGATCATGACCTGAGCCGAAGGCAGAGGCTTTAACCCACTGAACCACCCAGGAGCCCCTAAATAAAATCTTTAAAAAAAAATAAAAAATATTATCTTTCTTTGGCCAGGTTACAGGTAATTTTTTTCATTTTAATGCTTTGCTGCATTTTCCAGGTAGTCTGCAGTAGACTTGTATTTCTTTGGTAATCATAAAATCGGTGACAGGAGGCACAGGCAGGACCGGCCCGCTCCAGCTTTCACTGCGGGAAGAGAAATGCCTGCAAACCCATCTCCCAGCTGACCTGAGTACCATTTGGCCAGAGGAGGACAGGGGCATCGGCTAGAGAATTACCTCCTGAGGATGGAAAGATGTCAAGATCCCCAAGCCAACACTGAGCCTCAGGGCTGTGGCAGAAGACAGTCCTGGCCCCAAGCCCTGGCCTGCTATCTCTCTGCCAGTCTGAAATAGCAGCTTCGTGGCATCAGCCGGGGGCAGGGAAGCTGGAGTCACACAGCCCAGATGCTGCTGATTGGCGGCAGACTGGCCTGCAGGTCTATCGGGAAATGAAATCAAATTGTTCAGCGAAAGGAGCTTCAAGTCTCCCCAGCTCAGAGCTACCCCGCAGGGCATTTCAAAGCAAATGAACAGATAACACGCAACACCTCTCCCTGGCCCTGAACTTGGGGGATCAGGGCCAGGGAGAGGACCCTGATCTAAATGCACTTTGCACAGGACCCAATCATAGAACCTTACAGCCAGGGAGACCTGAAGTCTAGGGGGCTTCCACCTCTTCTCTGAAGTAACACATGCAGGGGATGGGGGAAGGGAGTGCACATTTAGCACGCACCCCGTGTTTCCCTAGGTGTTGACTGAGCTCTCTTATTTACGGGGATAATCTGGAATGTTCTTTGGTTTATTTTTTCAATGTTTTATTTTGACTAATTTATTATTTTTGAAAAGTAAGTCATTCTTAGAATTCAATGACAAAAAAAGGCAGGGAGGAAGGGGCTGTTTTAGAAGAAAATGACTCAAAACATGTAACAGCTGGATCCCGTGTGTGGACGTTGTTTGGATTCTGATTCAAACAAACCAAGTGCAAGAAGGTATCTTTGAGGCAATAGGAAATTTCAACACGGACTGAGTATTAGGTAATTTTGAGAAATCATTGTCAATGCTACTGTCACCCTACACAATACTCTCGTTTTTTATGCATTTCTGTACTTATCTCCCCTTACTAGACGAGAAGCAGAATTCTGACTCATGACAAGGAGTAGGGATAGCACAGCGGCTAATGAACCCCATTTGATCATTTACTGTGTGATCTTGGTGAAGTCACCTAATCTCTCGGTGCCTACTGCTGTTTAATCTATAAAATGGGGGAAATTCGCCTTGCTGGCTCCCGCCATAGAGCATGCAACTCGACCTCTGGGTCATGAGTTCAAGCTCTAGGCGGCCTAGAGCTTACTTAAAAAAAAAATAAAAATGAAATGGGGGAAATAATATCACCCAAGTCAGGGCTTGATTTTAATTCAATGAGTTACTATTGCTAAAGCACTTAGAACAATGTGTCATACAGCACATTTGTGTTTGCTCAGAAATCCTCCAAATCCTGGGTTACAACTACTTTCTATGGATCCAAGCAATAGCCTCTTCATAAGGAACACTCAAGAACAACAGCCAGCCCTGGTTCAGGGGACCTCGCACCCTAGGAACAGAATGTGGCAATCCCAGGCAGGGGCAGAACGTGGACCCGCAAAGCAGGCGCGAAACAGGCCAAGAAGAGAGGAGTAAGTGGAACCATATAAGCCTTAGTTGGCACAGCCAACGCTCAAGGAGCCACACACACCATTCCCATTAGCTCGGGTACTTGGCAAACTCACGCACTCTCGGCCCCAGGGGCAGCCAAGTCCTTCCTGCCCTTGAGGCCTCAGTTTTCCCACCCTCCTGCCTCCGGCTCAAGATGGGGAGAGAAAAGAGGGTGAACTTATCCCGGGGCACCTATGCTGAGACCAAGAGAGACCTTTCTCGTTGCTCAAGAGCCAGCAGCGAAACAAGCCAGACTCCCATTCAGGTGCTTATGGGTCTAAATTCGCTCACCAAGTTGCTTTTCCTCAAGAGTGCCGTGGGGGGGAGCTTTCTAGATTAATACCATGCCCTTGGAAACTCACGTTTCCAGAGTCTAGGGATCCCCAGCAGGGATCTCAGGTGAGCTGAAGCCGCAGGAAGACACTTTCCCACCAGCGCCAGGGGCTACCGTGTCCTTCCCATGTTCGGATAGAAACACCACCCGCAGCTCTTCTCCCCAGACCCGACTCCCCGGCTACGAGCTCCGTGCCCCTGACTGCGGGCATCCCGTGCGGAGGGAGGACCAACCAACGTACCCCAAAGCTGGCGCCTCTGCCCGGGCTGGCGCCGCGGGGGAGGCGGACGCCCCACTCCCGAGGCTCCGCAGAGGCTCCCTGACGTCTCCTCTTCCAAGTTCCAGTCCGCAACCGGCCGTGTCTTCCCTGGGCGAGTCCGCAGGGGCTGATGTGCTCCGTAGGCTCTCAAGGCTAGGAAGGGGCCCCCAGTGACACCGGGGGGAAGGCTCGGAGAGGCACGGGCGCGGATCAGCAGACACCGAGAGAGTGGAGGCACCTGGAGACCTAAGGCGGAGGGAACCTGGAAACAGGGCGGGAGTGTTCTGGAGGAGAGGCGTCTTAAGAACGGGATGGAAGTGTGGGGGGCGCAGTCGTGCGGCCACGGCCAGACACAGGCTCGGGCACCACTGCTCCGGAGACCCCCCGACCCCGGGACGGGCGCCGCCCCCAGCGCCGGAGCCCTGCGCTGCGGGTGCAGCCGCTCCGCGCCGTCGGCCGCAGAAGAGCGCACACAATGAAGCGCTTTCAGACGTGGCTGCGGTCCCAGAGCCGGCGGGCGGGAGCCGGGGCGGGAGGGACGGAAGGAAGGAAGGAGCCGGTTGGCCCCCGGCTCTTGCTACCCTCCCCACCCCGGGGGAGGGGCGGCCGCCCCGGGGCGGGCGCGGGAGGACCCGGGGAGGGCGGGCACAGGTGGGCCCGGGGGGGGCGCGGGAGGACGTCGAAGGGCGCTCGCGCTCACCTCTCATGCGACTATATGACCAAAAAAGTTGCTTCCTGCTCCGTTCCCAGAGAAGGAAGCCTCCCGGGGGCACAAAAGGCCCTTGCGAGGGAAAGCGAATTTTTTTTTTTTTTTAAAAGAATGTATTTATTTATTTGACAGAGAGGGATCACAAGTAGGCAGAGAGGCAGGCAAAGAGGGGTGGGGGGGGCGGGTAGCAGGCTCCCTGCTGAGCAGAGAGCCCTATGCGGGGCTCGATCCCAGGACCCTGAGATCATAACCTGAGCTGAAGGCAGAAGCTTAACCCACTGAGCAACCCAGGTGCCCCAAGGGAAAATTGAATCTTACTTAATCTTGCCCGTCCTCATGCTCAGTGGCATCTTCACAGGGAGGTGACTTGGAATCCAATCCGCTTCCCAAGCCCCCAGCCTCAGACCTAAGTCAAATGTTTCTCAATGCCAGGCGGACACACGCGTGGCCTCCCCAAGCAGTAGCCGAGCTGAGAGGGGCCCAGGCGGCAGGAGCCAAAACACTGAGGGGCTGGGCCCAGAGCTGGCTGTCCTCCTCCCTGTTCTAGTCTCAACCCAGAAGCCCAGGATTGATAGCAGGTAGGGATAAATACAGGACAGGTTTCCATAAGTACAGCAGTCCACCCCCCTCCCTTCCCCACCCAGATAACAACAGAGTCCAGGCATCTGAAAAAGAGAATTCTGACCTCTTGTAATCTGTGGTGAGATCTAAGAGAAGTCCCTGCTGCTGGGAGTATAAATCAGTGCATTCTTTCCAGGATGCGGTTTGGCAAGATGAATTTAAATCCTTAAGAACAGCCATAAGCTTTTTGAATTAGCAATTCCTTTCTAGGATTTCTCTCTCTCTTTTTTTAAAGTAGGTTCCACACCCAGGATGGGCCCAACAGGGTTCTTCAACTTAGCACCCTGAGATCAAGACCTGAGCTGAGATGAAGAGTCATATGCTTAACTGACTGAGCCACCCAGTCAGTGGCTGGGTGAGATCTGCCCCCCCCACCCAGGATCCATCTTAAGGAAATAACTGGCAATAAGGATTCATACACAAAGTTCATATAAGTGTTGTTTATGATAGAGAAAAATTAGAAACAGTACAAAAGATTGAAAAGACATGTACCAGAATGCCAATAGGACATCTAAGGACAACTTATTTCCTTTAGGTTACTATAATTATATATTTTCCCCAAAAGGGATTTAGAAATTGGTCTAATTGGCATTTAGAATCTGGTCAGAAAGAAATAAGACATCTTTTTTTTTTTTTTTTAAAGATTTTGTTTATTTGACAGAGAGAGACACAGCAGAAGAGGAAACACAAGCAAGGGGAGTAGGAGAGGGAGAAGCAGGCTTCCTGCTGAGCAGGGAGCCCTATGCGGGGCTTGATCCCAGGACCCTGGGATTGTGACTTGAACAGAAGCCAGATGCTTAACTACTGAGCTACCCTGGCACCCCAGAAACAAAACATCTTAAAGAGCATGAACATGATGGGGCGCCTGGGTGGCTCAGTCAGTTGAGCATCTGCTTTAGGCTCAGGTCATGATCCTGAGGTCCTGGGGTAGAGCCTTTGGAGAAGGGGGGGGGGTCCCTGGTCAGTGGGGAGTCTACTTCTCCCTCTTCCTCTGACCCTCTCCTGCCCCTGTGCTCTCTCTCAAATGAAAAAATAAAAAAAATCTTTAAAAAATTTTTAAAAAACATGAATATGAGGAGAAAGAAATAAGACCAAGAATTGCTTTTTAGCTGATGGGACCTAAGCAGGGTCTTAGGGGCCCTACATGATTCACACAGAAACTGGATAATCGTTTCGCAAGATTAGAGATCTTCCCCATCCCAAATATCGCATAATTGTCTCAAACCCTGACTTAGCTATGAGTTACAGCTCAGTTGATAAAATCCTGTGTATTTCTCACTTTTTTCCCTCTTGCCACTATACTGTATCATTCAGGTTTCGAAGCTACTAACATCTGATCTGTAAATAATTTGATATTCGCCAGACACAGTTGTAATTTTCCAGCCTGTGGTTTCCACATGCCATGTGGATTCCACCGAAAACTCACATGGACTTGGGACTGGATCAGGAGACTCTGCCAAAGAGCCAACAAAAGCTCCAAGGTCTTAGGGCAGAGCCCTGGCAAGGCAAGGCGGCCAGTGAGTAACTTGGAGAAGTGTGTGCAACCTCTCCCCTCCCCACCCCCTTTCCAAACTCTTCTCCTTGAAAAAGCCACATGCAGCCTTCAGTTTTGAATATTTTAATTAGATAGGTACAAAACATCATGGTTCTTTATACAAATTCTGCATTAAAATAATTTAACAAAACGCAGTGTTTATTTACATCTTTAGCTATCTTTCCACATCTCATTACCTTCTTGTGATTCAAACCAGAAACCGGTTTTGGTTTTGTTTTTTTTTTTCCATTTATATCTCAAGAGAAAATCTTTAGGTATTATCAACAGCCCTAGATGTTAAAAGAAAAGGCAGAGGGACCAGTGGTAAGCTATTTTTGTGCTTGAATCCTTCAAAAGATTTCTTATTTTGGTCGGCCTGAAAGACAAGGTGCTTTGGAAACGAGAACTGAACCTCCAAGGTAAACTGAGGCATACGGTGAGGACAGTGTGCGTCAGCATAATGAATGGGTCAGAACAGGCATGTCTCCAGTGCCAATATCTTGGGATCATAAAGCAGATCCATTTGTCCTTTGCGGGCAGCTTGTCTCTACATGCCAAGAACGGAGAAGCAGTCTTCCATGAGCAACAGGGGCCCATTTTAGCGGTCCCACCCTTCAGACGCTCACTAGAGCAAGAGGATGAGCCTGCTGGCCTGCCTGACATTCTGCTACCCGCCAGGCCAGAGTGGGCTGCCTGGGTGAACACCCCCTTGATCCCCTCGTCGCACCTCGTGTGTCCCCCGCAAAGCCGCTCACCCTGATCGGCACCCTGTTCCTTCATCAGGGCGAAATTCGAGTAGCCGGGCTTCCCGCTGGCGGTCCAAAGGAGCTCTGTGACCATTGGCAGTGGGAGCCAACACCAACAACAGCTCCTTTGTCACCCACGTCCTCTTCAAGAAGGGGGAGGGCTGTCAAGGACGAAGAGTGGCAAGTGTCCAGGCTGTTGGAGGAGGGCCAGAGAGAAGGCGACTGTGGTTCTCATCCTTCCTTCCCCCGCTGTTGCTGCGGGGATTTGTGGACTAAACAGCACTCTGGCTGAAGCCTGCTGTTCCAGGGGGCACAGACAGGGCGAAAGGCAGGGCAACAAGCCAGCCCCGGCAGAGCAGGGATAAAGGGCCCTGCAGCTGAGCCTATGACAGACGACTATCTGTTAGGCCGAGGGCAGGTGGACGGTCCTCGTGTTCTGGGGTCACCCACCCGCACACGTGTGCACACATATGCTCCTAAGCGCTCCCTTCTTCTCGCTCCTGTTCTCCCCTTCACGGCCTCTCAGCGCTGGAAACTGAAGTTCTGAACGGGAAACTTAGAGGCTCAGGAGTGGAAAGTGCTGCTGATTTATATCTCTCTCACAAGAGAGTCCTGAAAAGAGTAAGAAGTGGTTTACAATAGTGGGAAGAAATGTATAGCACACTTCTCGGTTCAAAAGAGGAAAAGTCTTTGCTTGACCAGAGATGGGACTCTTTCCAAGAGGTCTGAACTGATTGTAGTTTTCTCCTGAAATTCAAGCCTAAGGCAAAAAAAAAAAAACAAAAAACAAAAAAACAAGCAAATTATAGCCTTCGGGAACCCTTGGATGTTTCCACAAACTAGTCCCTGATGAGTGGTGCTTACGTGCCAGGTACTTAGAAGATATGGATTTGTGTAGAGAAAAATAAGAAAGGACTGTCCTTTGTCTTTAGGAAAAGCACACACACCGGCACGTGTCCACAGGCTCTTTGCAAAAACTTCTTAAGATGGCAGTTCTCAGAAGACCACAATGAGGTAGCCAGGATCCTGCTGAGTTCTCAGAAATGGTCTTCCTATGACAAGTGCTCCTTATACACTTCTCCTTGGGGCATCCCTGCGACAGGGATTGTGGTCACCACTTGATTTTGAAACACAAATCTTTTGATTCTTTCAAACACCCAGAGGAAGATAAGCAGGATACTGACATACTGGATCCAGGCAAACTTGATCAATTCCCAGAATCCTGGTAGATATGTATAGACAGTTAAGGAGTCACAGATGGTGTTTTCCCAATGGAAGTTAAACCAAAGGTTTAGTTTAGACGGGAAATGGCAAAAATGTTTCAAATACTCTTAAGATAAAAGGGAATATGATTAAAGATTATTAAGGCATAAATATGGATGATTTTGACTTGGAAGACTTGCCCAGAAAGAAATAGGAAGAGGAAATGAGTTTTATTTTGTTTTCCCCTGAATGAATAGCAGACAGAGTCATTTGAGTGGGGCCACGAACTGTAGCCAATCCCACGAAGGCCTCCTGCATCTGTTCCTTCTTGGGATGACGGAGGAACCCTCCTTTTTTGAAACTGAGCTACTGTGGCTCTTTAATAGAAAGGATATGAAATGACTTCCACCGGGTATTGGATGACAGCGTTAATCACGAATGGAGCTTCGGCAGCCCTTCCCACCAGCCAGATGGGGTGCGGGCCCGTGAGCACAGTGGTTACTGTAATGCAAGCCAGAGTTAATCCATGAATAAAGTAATGAGGGCTAGAAAAGTATTCTTTAACCTCTCAGGCAAATTCTGCACACCAGAACTTATTCCAAAGAAATGACCCCAAAGAAAACAGAACGGAATGTGCAAAGTTACTCACAAATTATTCATTAAAATACACGTCAAAATATTTATGTTTGATGCGCCTGGGTTGTTCAGTGGGTTAAAGCCTCTTCCTTTGGCTCAGGTCATGATCCCAGGGTCCTGGGATCGAGCCCCGAGTTGGGCTCTCTGCTCAGTGGGGAGCCTGCTTCCCCCTCTCTCTCTGCCTGCCTCTCTACCTACTTGTGATCTCTGTCTGTTAAGTAAACAAATAAAATCTTAAAGAAATAAAAAATAAAAAAATAAAATACTCGTCAAAATATTTATATTAAAGGGGCACCCAAGTGGCTCAGTCAGTTGTGTCTGACTCTTGATCTCAGCTCAGGTCTTGATCTCAGGGTTGTTAAGTTCGGGCTCTGCACATTGGGTTTTACTCTGGGCGTAGAGCCTATTTAAGAAAACGAAAAATTATGTTAAAAACGTGGAACCGTCAGGGTGCCTGGGTGGCTCAGTTGGTTAAGTATTAAGCATTGACCCTTATTATCGGCTTGGCTCATGATCTCAGGGTCACGGGACTGAGCAGAGTGTAGACTGCGTTCAGCAGGGACTCTGCTTCAGGATTCTATTCCTCTGCCTCTCCACTCACGCTCGCTCTCTCCTTCTCTAATAAACAGACAAATTTAAAAAAAAAAAAGAAAAAAATCTTGGAATGGTCTACACGTTCTATGGTTGTTGAATGACGAAGTAAAGGAATACTGTGCTACCACTAAAAATAATACCAATTAAAACCTCGTAGCAGGGTGGGAGATATTTATATTTCAAAGTACAGGGGCGCCTGGGTGGCTCAGTCAGTTAAGTATCTGCCTTCGGCTCAGGTCATGATCTCAGGGTCCTGGGATCGAGTTCCCTGTCCCGCTGGGCTCTCTGTTCACTAGGTGTCCTGCTTCTCCCTCTCCGTCTGCTGCTCCCCATGCTTGTGATCACTTTTCCCTCTCTCTCAAATAAATAAATAAATAAATAAATAAATAAAATAAAAAAGGACAAAAAAATTGGATCCTAAAATGTTTCTAAACTATGGTAAGAGCTGAATATAAAAAAATCTGCTATGGACAAGGACTGAAAGGACTACAGAAAGCAAAGCTGTAGATAAGTGCTTTTGTCTTAAAGTCCTTTTTAGCCTTGGAATAATGTCACCAGTTCGTTACTCAAAAATCAGGACTACTGGAACTGCAGTCCCCCTATTTGATAAATATGTGTGTATAGCATCCCTGATGTCTGGCTGCCAAGGAACCCTTAAGATGCCTTTAGAGAAAACCTCAGACCACCAACCCGCCAAATGTGCTGAGTCAAGTACACTGGGCTGGCCTGACAGCCTTTTCTCTGTAAGGAATGGACACGTTCTGCCTTCCAGCTAGAACCTTGGGCCCTCTGATCTACCTCCACTGCTCATGTCGGGTAAGTCACTCACATTCTTTAGTTCTATCTGAAAACCAAGGATAGCAGTTTGTCTTGTGTGGCGGACTCAGTTAGGCGTTTATATTAAAAAGGAAATCTATGAAGCCAGTGGTGGGATAAATGTGGCACTTAATAAATAAATATGGGGCATAAATCAGCAGTCACCTGCTGGACCATAAGACTAGTGGTAAGGTGCGGGGTATGGGATGGGTCTTTAGATCAGAAGGAAAAAGACAAATAGGGGAAGCCTGTTCCCCTCCCATCACTGAGTATTCACTGGTACTGACATTTTCATCATGAGAAGGGCTCCAATTCTTTTTTTTTTTTTTTTAAGATTTTATTTATTTGTCAGAGAGAGAGAGAGCACAAGCAGGGGGAGAGGCAGGCTCCCCATTGAGTAGGGAGCCCCATATGGGACTTGATCCCAGGAGCCTGGGATCATGACCTGAGCCCAAGGCAGATGCTTAACCGACTGAGCCACCTAAGGCGTCCCAAGGGCTCCAATTCTGTTTTTGTCCGATGTTCCCCCTAACCTGGAAGGTCCTTGAGAAGCGGCTGAACAAACTGTACCTATGACTCACCATTCCTTTCCTGATAAGCAGCAACAATGTGGGTAAGATCGTAGTCATAGGCAAAAGGGCTGGTCCCATTGATTACGGACACCTGGGAAATGGCAGGAGGATATGGGGTAAGCCCGCAGCCACTTCTCCACTCGTCTTTCTACCCTCCCTCCCCACCAGGCTCATCTCACAGACCTCCCTCTTGGGCTTGGTGACCTACTCTAGCATCAGAAGTCCTTTTTTCTGGATGGATGATAGGTGATCACCCCTGCCCCCTCTCCCCCAGCCCCCCTTGCAACAATTTAAATCGTCTACATTCAGTCTCCCTGACCCTTTTAAAAAGATTTATTTACTTTCCAGCAATAGAGAGCAAGAGAGAAAGAGGCAGCATGAGTGGGGAGCAGAGGGAGAGGAAGAGAGAAAGTCAAGTGGACAATTAGCTGAGTGCGGAGTCCACCAAAGGGCTCAATCTCATGACCTGAGCCAAAAGCAAAAGTTGGATGCTTGATCAACTATGCCCCAAGGTGCCCCCGAGTCTTCTGTTTTACAGGGATGGAAAAGGGGTCAATATCCATCTTTAACGGGTTTTAGTTACTTATAAAACACCCCCCCCCCCGCCCCGTTCCAAGGGGAGCAATAATTCTTTGAATTTTTTTTTTTAAGGAGTCCATATTTTCATCTCTTTTGTCTTTCTTGCTCTTCCTTGGACACTCCGTAATTTATCTCTCTCTCTCTTTTTTAAAGATTTTGAGAGAAGAAGACTCCCCAGTGAGCAGGGACCCCAATTTAGGGCTTGATCCCAGCACTCTGGGATCATGACCTGAGCCGAAGGCAGATGCTTAACTGGCTGAGCCACACAGGCACCCCTGTAATTTCTCTCTTTTAAATCTAGAGATGAAAATAGGATAAAGGGCAAATAATAAGCATATAATCCTTTGAAGAAGTAAACTATCTCCTGCCTTGTAATATTACATTCCTATTGATATAATCAATATCTAAATCTTCAAATAAAAAGTTTTTATCTTATAGTCCCCCTCCTTTTTATGTAAACCTATATTGAGGGGCATCTGGATGGCTCAGTCAGTTAAGCGTCTGCCTTTGGCTCAGGTGTTGATCTGGAGGTCCTAGGATCAAGGTCAGGCTCCCTGCTCAGTGTAAGTCCTCTTCTCCCTCTGCCTGCCACTCCCCCTGCTTGTGTTCTCACTCACTCACTCTCAAATAAATAAATAAAATCTTAAAAAAGAAAACGAAAACAACCTTTACATTGACTATAGATGGAGAGACCATAAATCCGTTTATCTGGAGCAGTCCTGGTTCATGCCTGTAGTAACTGATAAGATCACTCATTTTCAAAAGTAGCCTGGCCCAGCTTACACAGGCTCCCTTGTGATAAAAGAAAGATCAGTAATGAGTCACTGTATGCGTAAGATCCAGTCCTGGACAATTTATGGCTCTGTTACTTTCAAGTGGCAGGACTTTGGGAAAATTAATTAAGCGCTGTCTGCCTCAGTTTCCTGATGTGTAAAAACGAGAGTTCATTCTTTCAACAAATCTGAGTGCTTCCAATGTGCCAGGCCCTGTTTTAGGCTCCGGGGTGACAGTGGAGAAGATGTCTGTTCTTTTAGCACTGGGGGAGACAGGAGGCGAACAAACCAAAACCTGATCTTTACTATTTCCGGTGGAACTAAGGAAAATCAGTCAAGGTGAGGGGTGACGGGCAGGGAGGAGAACGGTCTTTAGAAAAAGGAGTCAGAGAAGGACTGAGCTCGGGCACATCTGGACAGGGACCTGAATGGAGTGGGAGAGCAAGCTACGTGGATATGTGGCAGGAGGAAAAACTGGGGGGCAGGAGCTGCTCCGTGGGACTGAGGAACAGCGAAGGGGCCGGTTTGGCTGGAAAGGAGCCCGGGGGACCATGACAGGATAAGCGGCTGGAGAGCTGGAAAAGGCCAGAGGCAGGATCCCCGGAGGCGGCTGCCGCTTAGCAAACAGCGGTTAGTTGTGACTTCCCCAGTGTTTTACACGAACTGGAAAAGGCCACTTGGCATAAGCCACGTGTGTGCGTGCGCATGCGCATCCACAAAGAAGAAATGCTTCAGTTCTTAAAGGCGTGTTTCTGGTCTCTTTTTAGATGCAAATACCAGTGTATCTGGCCTTGTATTTTGAAAGAACTCAAGGCGAGAACTCCACAGAAATCCTCTTCTGGGCCACCTACAGAGAAATGCTATTTCCAACTTTCACGCCTCCCTCTTTATGATAAGCAGTAACAGAGAGAAAAGCAACGACAGCGCTGAGCCTCCTTACGTTGTATCTCACGTCCAGGCCGCCGCAGCTTAGGGGCTGCTTCTGCTGCAGCCTCAGGTCCCCGTGCACATACAGCTGCGAGCCTGGAACAGCGAAGGAGGACTGCAGAAACGCCATGCTCTGCATCACGAACGTGGACATCCTCTGAAATCATTAGAGGGAGAGACAGTTTTGGGGAATCGGAAGGCTCTGGGCCCTGGGCATCCCTGTCTGGGGTGGCAGCGTCCCAGCCCCTCCAACACCTGCTTGGCCATGCGGGAAGCTATCGGCTCGGAACCCTGCGAGCTGTGAATAGCCCACGCGCACCAACACGGCCCCCATGAGAAACGTGCGATTTGCCCCAATTAAATCCCGCACAACACTTCGGAAGAGAGCCTTCGGCAGCAGGGGTTTTCCTAGAAATCAGACAGAGGGCTCAGTTCTATGAAGGCACAAAAGGGAGGGGATGGGCTTCCCTGAGGAATGGACTCACGTGCAATTGGTAGGAGAAAGTCAGGATGAGCTGCACACCGAGAACATGCTCCGTGGACTGCAGGGGAAGCTCCAGCTTAAAATGTAACATGTCCATTTTCCCATCCTGGTTCCTGTCTTCTTCTCGAGTCTAGGAAACCCAAAGACAGCCAGTGGCCCTGGTCCTTAATAAGTCCGGGAAGAATCCGGACGCCTGCCCTAACAGAGTGACCCACTGTTCTGCTACACATGGGAATTAGCTCCCTCACCGGAAGTAAACAGGAAGAATAAATAGGTATAAGGGGATCAAGAGCGGGGAAGGAGACCCGAGGTGCCGCCGGGGACTTCACACTTGTGCTTCTCAAATGTTCAAGCGCCACACTGAACAGGAACTTGAAGTGGCAAGAACAACATCTGGATGGCTTTTTTTTTTTTTTTTTTTAAGTTTTCTCCTTGGATCTTTTTTGTTTTGTTGCTGGTGTTTTCTTTTCTTCTTTAGAAACACATCTGAGTTTGTATGGAATATTTAAATAGCACGTTAGTACTGACTTCTACTTCTCCAGGAGTCCATTTCTTTTTTTTTTTTTTTTTTAATAGAAAAGAAACAGATTCTAATCATCATGCATTCATTCCCCAAACAGACTCAGGAGAAAAACACCAAACTCTATACTTTCTTCTGCCACAAGTGTCTTTGCTTCAGACTATCGATAGTGGAACTCCTTTTCATCACTGATGTCAGGACTTGAAAGCCTCGTGCATCTTTTAGTACCAATCGATACAGTGAAAAAGGAAGCTAAATCAAATCAGCAAGTCATTAAAACTACACAGACAGTTTATAAATTATGGATACAAAAGGAGGGAAAACTGAGATCTAAGGAGGGAAAAAGACAAAGGACAGCCCATAGAAAACACCAGAATCCAGTCTCACCACCCATAGTATGACCTCATACTGATCCTTTTAGTCAACAAGAAAGATGGCACTGAAATGTGATCACTGGGGACATGATTCTTTGGGACAGCCCTGGATCTTGTTACTACAACTTATCCTTTCCCGCTGTAGGTTCCCAGAAGGATTCTGCTATGGCATATCAACATTCCCAACGGCATGCTCCGTGATTCGTTTTGCTTTCCACTGTTATTATGATGCAAGGAAGAGAGTCTTTGTTCTTTTTCAGGCTCCTAAGGTTGATTGAGATGGAGCTCAGTTTTCAGGACATTTCAATCATGTCCTTCCTCCAGACAATAATGTCCTTATCCTAGGCCTTGTTATAGAGAAACGTACCCTCTTTCTTCTGTTGGGTTCTGTTTTCTCTGTCCTGTTCCATCAGCTTCACAGGTGCAGGGGAGGGATATTGTTACCGCGGTTGACGGTCAAGTTACTGAGGAAATTATGTATTAGCAATTATGAGTAGGACAGAAAAGAGGCTGCCTTGTCTTCCTGTGAATTTTCTTCAGTTGGAAACACTTGCAAGACAAAGTCAGATTCGCTCTCTGTAGTGGACCCATACCTTCTGGATTTTTAGGGCTGGACAGGAAGACAAAGATCAAATGTCTCAACTTGCAAGACAGCATAGTGGGCGGCAGTGGGGGAGGGGGATTGCCAGAAGAATCCAGACCCCAACACAGTGTGGGAGGGAGAGAAACACATTTGTTCATTTGATCTTTACAATAAATCCTGATGTAAGCAAAGCAAAGATTATACCCACTGTATAGATGAGAAAATCGAGGTTCAGGGAGATTGAGGGATTTTTTGGGTGTGGCTAGTAATGGTAAAGATTTGAAACCATGTCTGTGACTCCAAATTGGGTCCTCTTTCCAGAACTAAAATGTCCAGACTTAAAACAAAAACGTTCAAGGATAAATAAATAAAATCTTAAAACAAACAAACAAACAAACAAACACACACTCAAGGAGAAAATTGTGGGTAAGATAAATCTTTTTGCAAAAAGCCAGCATCAAATTTTGAAAGCAAGTCAGTGTGGCGTTTGTGCAACATTTTCACTCCATGTTCACATGGGATAAGATCTGCCACAGCACCATAATTAGTGTCTGCTTAAGTTCACTCATTACTCTGTCAAGTATTTTTTAGGGGCCTACTGTGTGCCAGGCACTGCCAGGGGCTGGAAATACAGTGGCAAACGAAGTACATAAACTCCGTACCCTAACAGGGCTTACATTCCCAGCCAGGGAGGCAGAAAATAAATCCATAAACAAATAAATGTGATAAATGCCACAAAGGGAAATGAGGCAGGCTTCAATTAAAGGAAAGGGAGCATCTCACAGCCATTTTTTACAGGAAATACTCAGGAAGATCTGACTGTGGGTAGCCGGAAGGAAGTGAGGTGAAGAGGTATAGAAACATCTAGGGGCAGGGTGATCCCCGCTGACAAAGTCCAACTGCTCTGCGAAATGGGTCAGCGCTTACCAGAGTGGTGAGGGCAGTGAGGAGGAGGGAGGTGGAAGCCAGGGCCCAGGTAGTCCTGGGGGGAGGGGACGATGCTAATGCTGCATCCCCACGAATGCCCATCACCAGGTCCCGCTCTCATCCCCACAGGGCTGGCGAGGTGGGCCACATTCCTATGCCAGCAATTGGACCAAGGATGAAATCCACCTTTTCGTTCCATTTAGTTCAAATCAGGCTTAATGCATGTGGAAGTTACAAAGGGAGGCACTTCGAGAGCTAATACTTTTTTTTTTTTTTTAAAGATTTTATTATTTATTTATTTGACAGAGATCACAAGTAGGCAGAGAGGCAGACAGAGAGGAGGAAGCAGGCTCCCTGCGGAGCAAAGAGCCTGATGTGGGGCTTGATCCCAGGACCCTGGGATCATGACCTGAGCCGAAGGCAGAGGCTTTAACCCACTGAGCTACCCAGGCACCCCGAGAGCTAATACTTCTTTAACACAACTTCAAGTTTAGTATCTAAAACCCAGTGGGTATGTTTGGCGAAGGGAATTCATCAATTATATCAGCACCTAATTTTTATAAGGCCTTTGTGCCATGGGAGCTCTGTGTCTAAAGCTGGAGAAGGAAGGGAAGAGGCTGGTGTTACCTCAAGGAGCTGGGCCAGACTTCAGAAGCCTGGACAAAGAACCCAACAGAGGGAACAGTAAGGTTGCTCCTTCCTGTTTGCATCCTCCCCACCCCACCAATGGTTCTTCACTCTGGTTAGAGTCTTTCTCCCACTGCCAGAAGGCTCATCATGCCTCCTACAGGAAGAACCTCACAGAGAGCCAGTGAGCAAAGGAGAATGTGGTTTTCAGCAACAGCATGACCATCACAAAGCGGCACACAGGAGGGTGGCTTGGGACAGGCATAAGACTCACTAACCCGCACACCAACTTAATAGTCACTGTAAATCTGGGGTGCCTGTGTGGCTCACCTGGTTAGCGTCTGCCTTCAGGTTAGGTCCTGATCCCAGGGTCTGGGACCGAGCCCCACACTGGGCTCTCTGCTCAGCAGAGAGTCTGCTTCTCCCTTGCCCTCTGGCTCCTGGCTCCTGCTCTAGCTCTCACTTTCTCTATCTCAAAATAAGTAAATAAAAATCAACAGTTAAAAAAAAAAAGAAAAAGAGTTCCATGCTATACTGAGCCAGCCAGGTGCCCCAAGGTTAACGTCTTAGTTTATACCAGTGTCTGTTTTACCATATACTTGTCATCAATGGGTGTTTCATTTTTTTCCTTTTAATGTTGAAAATACTCTTTGGCACCAGTCTTTGGGTCTCCAACAAAGTAGGGACCAACACTTCAGGGCTCCTAGACTCATCAAATCCTTGCTGCCTGTGTTTCAATGAATCTAAGATACCATCAATTATAAAATGCACCATTACTTTAGATACCAGCAAAAAAGCAAAACTACTTCTAGTTAAACTATGACACAACGCTTTCTAATTACTGAGAACATTTCTTTTACACTTATTAAAAGCTTTTAGACTCTAGGAATATTTATATCAGATATCATATTTATGCACATAAAAATATAAGGAAAATAAATGGCCCTAGGGACTCCTAAAACTTCTTTACATTCTGATTCTTTTGCATCATTTTGTGACTCAATGATAACCATCCTTTTCTATGTAATTTTGTCCTTTGTGCCATCAAGCATATTGGAGATACAACAGTAAAAAAAAAAAATCCATAAATGGAACTAAATCCATTGGTCTGGGCTCTTAAGCAGGCTTTAGGGGCACGTGGTGGCTCTGTCAGTTAAGCATCCAACTCTTGATTTTGGCTCAGGTCATGATCTCAGGGTTGTGGGATCAAGCCCCACACTGGGCTCCATGCTCTGTGTGGCGTCTGCTTGAGATTTTCTCTCCCCCTCTGCCCCTCGTCTCTCGCTCCCACTCTATAAATCAATCAATCAATCTTTTAAAAAGGTATGTAGATCTGGCCTATGTTTAAGCGCCTCTTAAACCTTCCCTGACCTGCTCAACATTTGGATCTCAGGGTTAAAATAATGTTTTATTATTGTTTCTAGGGTTTTCTTTCAAGATGCTGATGTCACTTCTCCAAGTTTTGATGCTGACACATCTGATGTTTGCATGTGTGTAGGCAACAAGGACTAAGTCAAGCCTGTCTCCTGGCAGCAGGAACATTGTTTAAGATTCTATTTACTTAAGTGAGAGAGAGGGAGCACCAGTGCATGAGCAGGGTTTGGGGGAGAGGCAAAGGGAGAGGGAGAAGCAGATTCGCTGCTAAGCAGGGAACCCCAATGTGGGACTCGATCCCAGGGTCCTGAGATCATGACGTGAGCCCAAGGCAGATGCTTAACCATCTGAGCCACCTGGCTGTCCCACAGCGACAATTTTAAGATACCACAGAGAGGACACATTCTGATCTCAGAGATGTGAAAGCTGTATCTCAGATACGACAATGCTCTCCACTCACCTCCCTGCACTGCCCATAGCCTTCAGCCCCCACAGTCTCTGGGCCCACACATGCCTTAAAGAGCTCAGTCAGGCTTGAAAGGAGAGGTCACCCTGTGGTTTTTCCTTCTGTCCTTAACCACAATAGCAACAACAAGAAACTTGGATTTACAAAGCGTTCAAAGCACAGGGACTTTAGAGATGCTGTCCAAGGTGAGCTGACCGAAGCAGAAACAAGGCCATTTCTGGCTTCTGAGGCATTTTCCCAAGTTAGTAACCACAGAACC